GGCATTTCTACAAAGCAAGTCAAAATCCCCTTGCAATGTTTGGAGAGTTAATGCTTCTACCCTGTAAATAAAATTTTCTACGCTAAGACCGCTCGTATTACCAGAAAACTTAATTCTCCAATTTGCTATTATATGGAGAACCTTATCAGGTCTCGAGGATAGGTCTGACGAAGACGAATTATTCGAAGCAGTTGGGAGAACACGGCTGGTATTCAAGGGGGCATTAGTGTGGGAATTGTTAAGCGAAATGCCAAACATCTCACGAAAAGTGCGCTCTTCCACTGCCGGGAGAGTCTGCATTTGCCTCGGTGAGGCTTGTTGTGTTGCTGCCGGAGCAGTGGTTGCAGCACTTTGACTGTTCAAATTCATTCTAGAGAACCTAGACTCAATGTTGTTTTGTACGATCAAGGAAATTCGGTCGCCTAAACTTGCTAGTAGCTGGGCTTGTTGAGCCGAAACTATGGAACTTATCATCTCCTGAAGTTCCCCTGGTCGTATATTCACAGAATTATCTGACACATTGGTCCCTGAAGGATTAACTGCAGCAACAGCAGACTGTTCGGTATTTGATCGATTAGTAGCTGGCTGAACAGATGTCGCTCTTGATTGAGCTCTTGTGGTGATTCCAGACGCACTGGGGGTCGGTGGCTCGCAGAGCAATCTGGAATTGCACACCGGACAATATGGTCGTGTCTTTTCACACTTCGCTATGCAAGTTTTATGGAACTTATGCCCACAATTTGTCCTTATCAACTGTGTCTTCGAAGTGATAGAAGAGGCACATGCTTCACAAGTCGGATGTGTAGAATCTCCAGAAATTCCCGGAGCTAGGTCCTCGCTACTAGGTTCAACTGACATTGTGTATACTTCAATTTGACACTGTAATAATTAAAGTCTATGATATAACAAACAATCTTTAAACCAAATGTCCGATAAGGTGGAAATTTGCCAAATTTAATGAAGGAAAAAAAATAAAATAAAGAATAGGTTTAGGTTTCACAGGGATCAGACCTGTTTCAAAGATATTTCACTTCCAAAACAAAAATGAAACCACTATGCAATAAATATTCCTAAAAAATACATAAGTCCGTAAAAAGCACTTACGTATGTTTTTAAAATAGAAATTACTTTTGGTAAATATATAACCCTTTAAATAGCAAAAATATCATATAACCAGTTAAAGAAAAAAAATCAAATTTTCGAAGCACACGAATTTGCAATGATATTCAATGAAATTTCAATGTCCTACAGGGTTCACAAATTTCCCCCTTGCTAATTATGAAGTTTTTTTTTTTTTTTTTTTTTTTTTAAATTCCATAAAAAATGACAATAACTTTGAAATACAAATTATCCATTAATATTAAAGCTAAATATAAATTTAAATTAAAATGTTTATAAAGCACGTTAAAACCAATATTATTTCAACTTTGTTTTTGATATCTGTTTGAATACTCTATCGTAGAAAAGGTTTGTTAGTAAACACATCATTTGACCCAAAATAAATAGAAATTAAAAGAAAGATAGTTCAGGGAAGTTTCAAACCCCGGTAAGGAGAATCTACTCCAAATTTTCCAGGAAAATGAACTAGACTCCTAATTTTATTGTTACAAAGCCTCGAGGTTAGATCTAGCCAAAATTGACATTCAGAAACTAAATTCCATCGAGTTTTGAGGTGCAATAAAATCAGAGAGGAGAAGATGAGAATATAAAAATTAGTGGTCATTACTGGATTAATATATCTTTACCATAAATGAATTCCGACTAATTGCAGCATAAAACGATTATATACAGAGGTAATAGATTACAGGAAAAATAAATTTTATGTGAAGCCGAACAAATATAGTAATATTCCAGGTGTTAAATCGAAAGATAATATTCTCGTTCGGGCCCCACGTTGGGCGCCAATTTTCTTTATAATGTAGCATACAACGGTTACAGAATGTGGCTGTTGTTCATAGGAGGACATTCTAAGGGGATGCACGTTTATACACGGCCTTATAGCTCGTCGGAAGGGGGGGTTCGGTAACCTTAGATGCTCCATTACCACTTAGCTACATAATGATATATAAAAAAAATACGTGCATACTGATTTGCATTGATCATACATAACAAAGAAATAATTAAGATACAGAGGAAACGGAAATGAAAGAGTAGCACAAGGGCTCTGTAAAGAAAGTTAACAGGTGCTGAAGAAGAAAATCCACAGATACAGAGAAAGTAGAGAGAATGACCGATGGAGTAAAAGAGGAAAATTTAAGAGCACAAATGATGAATGGCAACATGATGTTATGTTGCTCAAAAGCCCACCCATCCATGGTTGCAACATGTAAACAATATTCCATAACCCAAATTAGTGTTGCAACCCCAAAATTGAATCTAACAAACCTCTTATCTACATATGGGAGTATTCAAACAGATCAGGTATTATTCTATTCAAAATCCATATTCTCTTTATTCAATGCAACCTCAGAAATTATCATCCACATCTCTGGGAATAGGAATAATGCATACAACTCTTAAAAAAAATGAAAATATTTGAGAAAATTCATAACAATAGGTCTGACTATAATCAGAACAATTTAAATCTATCATGTATGCTAATAATTTTTATACTTTTTGCAATTTAAACTATAACAATAAATATTCAAAATAAAATGATAGAATAATTATATTTTATATTCACTAAAAAAAATCATAATAAAAAAAAATCATAACAAAAAAATCATCTATCGAGTGTTATTTAAACATTAGTAAAGAAAACGAGAATAATCGAATATCACAGAAAGTTAAGCAAATATATCTCTTAATATGAGCACCAGGTATAAATATCAAATGTTTTTAGAAATTAAACGAACTCTTTCAATTTAAAACGAAACACTTCGATTTTTGATTTAATATGACCAAAAATCCATTTGTTTGCCTTTGTTGGATAACAAAGCGATTTAGCATAACATCAGACCAAAGAACCAAAATCAAAGGGGTGACCATGTTGTCATATTAAATTAATTAAAATAATATGAAAATAGTTTCAATCTAAAATTCATTATTGCAGTTCAACATTAGTTTAAACCAAATTACATTTACACTATATTCATATTACTTTAATTTATTTCATACATTCAAAATTTTAATAATTTTCCGAAAACATAAAAAGTTCGATCTGGTCACCTTTTTGTTAATTCTCTTTTAAACATATGATTTGCAATTACAAACAGTTCAATGACTTACTTTGTTTTTTGATGTTGTCCTCCCTCGTTGAAAGTACTTTCGCTGAGTTCGATGACGGTGGCTTTGGCGCTGGCTGAGAGTGTGTACACGAATAAAGGCAAAGAGTAATTGAAAGAGTTACGGTCACTTACTCTTCAAATATGATCAGAGATTTGCAATATCGTATGTGGATGCTATGAGAAATATTTAAGAGATTTAATAATGCAACTTAACAGTGATGATTCTAACAGCTCTCTAGATTCAGCAATATCTTGCACAATTGAATTTAGCTATGTTATTAACAGTGAAACATTTAACATCTGTCCATCAACATTACCCAAGAATGATATTAGCAGTAAATGCATTCGGTTGCGTTTTTAATGATCATTACGTAATTATGTACAAACGTCTGTATATTTGGGCAATGTTCTGTACAAATGCAATGATAACCAATGATTTTTTTTCCACTTTTAGTGCAAATTTTTGGAAATAACTATTAGAATAACAACAACTGAATATAGAAATAACACTCGAAATGATAACAGAATTAATGCAATAAAAACTATATGAAATTAACACTAGAAATTGAATGTTTAAATTATATTATTTCACTTATTTACTGAATTCATTTCGCTGTATTAGAATCAAAAATAATCCTTAAAACTAATTTCTGCAACAATTCATCCACGTTTTTTTTTCGTTTTTTTTGATGTTTGAGAATTTGCTTACTCACAGCATTTTTGGCACTTTTACTTTATTTTATTCCGCTTTGACGAGCATAATCACCAAAATATAGAGCAGAGGCGGAAAACCTTGGATTATTGGTAGAATTTTGGCGAATGAGTGAACAATTTCTTGTAATTTTATAATCCGGGATATAATTTTCAGAACTTTTCTTCACACAGGAATTTCTTAATTTCGTACAGTAGAACTGACTGGCAGACTTGTGTTTCACTTGGTGGTTTTCTACTAGTATATCGCAACTGGTAAATCATCAGATCGACAAACAAAATATGTTGTGACTTATATCGTAAGCAATTTCAACCTAACGGGGACATTAAATTATTAAATGAGAGTGAGTTTCTATCGTAAAGAAACAAAGAAACAAATAATTACCAATTAAATGAAGGAGAAGAAATTTTAATAAAATCCAAGATCCCAATCAACGGAAAAAATATCTCCATTTGAGAATAAAGACTTCGTAATTCTAATTTCCATCAAAATTTCTAAATAAATTGATAATTATTGTAAAGGTACACCTTAATTACACAAAACGCATACTTACAAGATATAATTGAATTTAAAGCAAGAAATATTTTAAACAGATCAAAAATTCACCTTATTTGAAGGTTATACTTCACTTCAGAAAAACTTATGGGAACTTTTCGGTGTGATCGGGTTGATTCTAGCTAACCAAATGGACGAGACAGTACCTTGTATTAAAGAATATGGCGGAAAGATTCTTTTGGGCTAACGTTTTCTTTCCAGCCATTGGTAAAACAATACATGTAATAATTGGGGAAAAACGTCAACTTCATGATAAATAGCCTTCTGCCTTTCAATAATTTCACGAACAGAGGTCGCCCAAGTATGCTGATTAAAGATTAAATACAAATGTAAATTCGAGTCTTCAAGGAGAAATGTATGTACTTTATAGACAACGCAAGCGCTATTACAGCTGTTGCTGTTGTTGTCATTGCCTTGGCTACCATGAAGCATTTGTGGCAATGGTAGTGGAATGAGAACTATGGCAGGAGTAGTAGTAAGAGTAGTGGTAGTGGTGGCAGACTTACGTTTGTTATCCATCCAATATTATTCTAATCCCTTTTGTCTAGCGGTAATTCTCCTTCAACTCCTATTAAGAGTGTTCGTAAAGAGATGTGCGTGTGAGTGTGATGCTAATATCCTCGGGCAGCCCGGCACAACACGATGTACACGTTGTGGCGAGAACAGCGATGTGACGTCGGCACAAAATCACTGACCCAGCGGCAGCGAGCAGACAGCGCCAAACAGACGAAGTGCGATATAAACAGAGTAAATTTAATTACACGAAATGTATGTCATTATCACTAAGCACGTGCTGCAGCGTTCTGAGTTACGACCTCGTTGCCGGAAGTTAAGTAAACTCCACACCGTGCGTTTGTGAGTGAGTTTCTTTCACGCTATGTTGGCCTTTCGTTTGCGTTGTTCGTGTTGTTTTTATTTCGGAGATTTATTTGTATTATTTACACACTTATATATTTATTTTTTTTTTTTTTTTTGATTGTTTGTTTGTTTTGCTTTCATTCGTAAAATTAAATGCACTTTCTCTCCAATGATATTGGCGCGATTTTGGATTCAATGAAAATGGTTAATAATTTCTATTGCGTTGTTGTTCTTTATATATTTTCATTTGATATTAATTTAAATAAATAATTAATCGTTGTATTTTTGAATTGACACAAATAGGAATCGGAATTGTTTATTTTGTTTTTTTTTTTTTTTTTTTTCTCGTAACACTTATTAATGGCAATTGATTAAATTAATTGTATCTACTTTTTCCATCATCACTTGTGTATATTAAATTTGGATAATTTTTGTTATCTTTTCTTGCAATATATGTATGTTTATGACTGTATGCCGTTACATATGTCTTTCTCCTCCATATCTGTGTTCAAGAAAGAATGGAGAAAGCTTTCATTCCTTGCACATGAAAAATACGCAACTGTTGGAGTACATCTCTCAAATTCACTTCTATTTTAATTGAGAGAGAGAGAGAGGGCGAGAGAAATATATAGAGAGAGCGTCTCTTAGACACTTTAATGTATAAGAGAGGTACAATGTGCACCACAGTGTATAAAAGATGTTAAATAGTTGTGTTGTACATGAGAAAACAAAGCGTTTTTCTGATATAATAAAGAATAAATTGAGACCTGAAAGACAATGTTATTTTTTTGTCGAATAAATATATACTTGTTGTTGGAAAACAATATTTATTTTAACGATTCAGACAAATTTGGAATTGTGTATTGGCAGAAAAGGATCAAACCCAAAAAAATCGCGTAAAAATGTGAAATTTGAACACTTTAATTTTGTACAATCGTAATGTTTTTTATTGCATGATTTCTTTCCATTTCGACTTACTTTTTTCGAATGCACATTTTTAGGTTTTTTTTTTTTTTTTGAATTTTAATATGGTGTGTAGTCTTTTTAGGGAAGTACAAAGCGACAGAACTGTTATTTATAGATTTTATGCATTTAATGGGTAGGAATAAATATGATTTTAGAAGGGATACAAAATAAATAATTATTTTCACCATATAAAAGAAAGTAAAGTTAGTTACTACGTAACAAACAAAAATGACCGACAAATCGTTATGGGGCTTATTTCAAAACGTGGATCTACTTTTTTCATATGACAGTAATCCATACAATGAGAACTCGAAATGCAAAATTCATTGGGACTGCAATCAGTGAAATACCGAATATAATGGGCGCAAAATTGTAGAGCGAATTGGACATTTAGTAAGAAAAGGATTTATAACCCTCTAGAAATTATTTTCAGGTAATGATATGGGTCATAACACCCCTTTAAGGGCAACACGATTTCAAGTATATTTAACATTTTAACCATATTGTTTTCATACTAATTTCGGCAAATGTTGGTAATTTGAGAAGAAACCATCTTTGCAAAAGCTGATCACGTTTTGGTATAACCATAATATGATTTAAGCTATTTTCGGGGTCTTGGTCACTTTTTTGATTTTTTTGGCATCTTTGTTTCTAAGGGGGTCGAAAACCTCTTTTCATAAACTTTTCAATTTTCAGAGTAGGGTCCATCTTTATTTGGCAAAAAAAATTATATTTAGGCTACTCTGCGGTAGAGAAGCATTTATTTAAGTATAGTCCCCACATTAGTGTACACCCAAGTTAATTTTCCTAACCAATATGTGTGGTCAGAAAAGAAAATTTTGCATTTTATTGAATTTCCAACCCCCAAGAGAATATTGGTTTGGGAACGTAGTTTTGGGATGTACGCCTATATAAAATTAAGCCCGAAATGTCAAACTGGCACTCATTTAGTTGGAAATTGTGGCTGAAACATGAAAAAATACGAATATTGGAAGTAGCACAGGATCGAACATTTGTTTAATCGTCATTGAATTATACTGTGATGAAAAAATATGAACTTTATGGGGTCTCCAACGACCAACTTAAGTGACTAAAAAATTAATTCCATTCTTACGGTAATGGCTGTAAAAGAGTAATTATCTTTGACTATTCAGAAATCATTCTGCCCCTAATTATGAGTATTCTAAAGGGTGGAAATACAAATTCCTAATTACAGCTAATTTGAATGGAAAATCTTTACAATACCAAATATTGGGCAGAGTTTTCATATGGGGCTATTATAGATGTCATATCGGTTTTAAAAACTCAATCTAAAGCCTATGGCTGAAAAATAAGATCAAGCTACCGACGGTCGATGAACACTAATTATAATTTTAGCCATGAATATTTATTTCTACATTACTTTTAATAAGAACTGCGGCGCTTTCATAAGTCAGATCTTTGCTTTATTAAAAATAAAAAAATAAAAAATATTCATTAAAGACTAAAAGTACGGGCCGGAAATGCGGACCGGGCCAGCTAGTTTCGAATAAAGGTGAATAATATATCCCCAACTATAATATATATTATAACTTTAAAATGTGTTGGAGGTGATTGATACGGGATTAATTATATAGAGTCCCAACCATAGACTTTTTGCATCGTAATAGCAACATTAATATAAGTACCGCCCAATATTCGGTATTTGCGGATACGGTTTATGGCTTTAACTGCATTGGATAATGAAACAGGTTATGATACTATATATTGGCAATTGAATTATAATGGCTATAAGAGGAAAAATGTTCTCTCTGACCGAAATTTAAGTTTTTTTTCTTGTTTGGTTTATTTAGTGTTGATGGCTTTTTATACTAAGCTATCATGGAAGGATGCTTGCAAATCAATTATTTTAGGGTATATCATATTAACTTTGTCATTCCGTTTGTAACTCTTCGAAGTACACATGTAAGACCCTACAAAACATAAGCAATGTCCGTTTGTCCGTGTAATTACGCACTTTTGCACATATGTGTATTTTGCCAGTAGGCAGGTCAAGTTCCTAAATGAGTGATATCGGTCTACGTTTTCGCATAGCAGCGTGTCTACTAGGCGCATTGAGCTGAATTGGAGTAGTTTGTATTTGATATTCGTTGAATTCGAAACAGTTCTTATTTTGGTCATTTTAAATGTTATGGTCTTAACGACACAGTTGGCTTAGGACATTGCCTGGAATTGACTACTTTAATTTACAGTTATTCAATAAATCTGTACAGTCACGCCTTTCCTCTCGACTAACAAAGAGAAAAACAGGATATCTCTTTCCGACATTAAAGTTTTTCTGATATGCGATCTGATATAAAATGTAATAAAAATCTTCCTTAATAGTATGACCTTTTTCGATCCATAAATTAGTCGGCTCGATAACAGCTTCAAAAATGATGTCTATATCTCTGCGTATATGAGAAAGATCTTAAGAAAAAAAACCTTGAAAAAACATTTTTTTTAATTGCATGTACACTTGCTTTTTATTGCATCGTGAGATACACTGAAAACTTAAGAAATAATACTAAAAAATATAGATTTTAATAATCCTCTTTAACTATATATTAGTTATCGTTAGTTGATTTAATTTTGAACCTACTAAAAATAAAAAGGTTTTGTTATGTTTCTTTCTATAAGTCTAAAAGTTTCATTTCCGCTCCAAAAGGCTTCATTTCCACTGCAAAAGGTTTCATTTAATCTGAAAATGCTATATCTCATCCTTAATCATGGTGTCGAATGTTCCTATTTGATTTCATGAAGGAATGATGTTAGACATATTTGTAGATACGACTTTCAGTGGTAGAGAAATACGCAAAATTGTGATTGTATTTGAAATTGTGCACTTCACAGCAAAAATTGTCTATTTGAGATGTACATTTTTCATAAATCAGTTCTTTAAATCCCAGGTGTTTTTAATTTAAATAATTTCAACGAGAAACCAGTTGCAAACAATGAAATGTATGTTTTTATGCTGAGGAGTTTAATCGGTTTCCAAACTCGTGCTAAACTTTAATGTTCAATTGTTGAAGTTAATAACGCTATAATCAATATTTTAGAAACTTTTACATATAATATAAACATGGCAATTTAAAATATTATCTGAGACTTAAACTATTGGGATTATGTAGATGTTGGAACTATTATACTAATAATGTTCAATTCAAGAAAATATATCACATAAAGATAAAACCGAAAAACAATTTCAAACAACGTTCTCATTTCATACTTATTTACGGTATTTTAGATAAAACTATAACATCCATGAAAATTTGGTTCCAACTGTTATTAAATAGAGTGAACACATGTTAGCGTAGACGCACTATTTTTTTTAAAAAAAAGGAACACAACAATGTAAAGGCGCTAAAATAGTTTATAAATTTTCACGGAAAGAGGAAATACTTTCAATGAATTGTCCGTTAGCCTAGGACACAAATGTTTTGTTCACGCACGCCGATGTCTACTAATCCACACGTACGTACACTTGTGTTACACACTTGCGTTAATTTAGTTTTGATTGTCGGCAAATTGCCGCCATCCGACGGCTACTGTTTCACATTAGGGTGGCCGGAACGGAATGGGTCCTTTGCTACGCCACTCTTATTATTTGCACTCATATAGTATGTTTGCACATACACAAATTCGTATGCACATAAATACCAATATGTGTACATGCATGTATACATGCATATGTTAGTGCCTATGTGTGTGAATTTGACCACATATGTGCGTTTGTATCCATTAATTATGCGTAACATGTGACAAAGATATGTCATCGACCAACTGACCGAGTTATGTCAGAAACATAAACAATTCATGAATCACAACGATGCTCATTTGTCAGACAGACAAACGTTGACACGCACACGCACACACGTACACGACACAACAAAACATTGTGGTGCACGCTCACTCCTCCCCCCAGTTGCATACAATCAATGCATGAATGAAAGAAATATTATTATAATTACAAAATAATTTCATTGGTTATTATTGTATTGGAAATTATGCTCGTTTGTGTGTATGTGAGAGTATTTTTGACATTTTTCCAATGAATTCAAGTGTGTTTGTGTGTGTGTGGGGGAGGGGGGGGGGGGGAATTGTCACACATTTTTATTCGATTACATTTCGTTTGTCAACACAATGAATGACAAATCTACTTCACAACGATTATCCGCATCACGTAAATGAAAAACGAATGCCAAATCCATTTGCCGCACACAAACACTCAACCGTAGGCACACTTTACGTTTCTTTTCAACAATCTTATCATTAACCGTCGGAAAACTGAAACTCTATTAAATTCTGTGCCACATCCGAACACATTGGGTCACATTTATACACACAAAAAGTAAGCGAAGGACTGACGAATATTTTAAAAGCTCTCGCACCGCCATCAACTGACTGACTAAACTTTTTGACGGTTTAACCAATCGACCATCCGACCGACCGACCGACCCAACGAACGAACGGGAATACAAAAGAGCCGCCTTTCAATCAATCGGATGTGTTACAATCCCTTCTGCAAAACAACCTTTTGTTGTTATTGTTTTTTTTTTTTTTTTTTAATTTTTTGAAGCTATATTCGTTCTCAATTTATCTCCGATGTGCTATACCGCATTGCAAGAGCTAAATAACTCAGGCAGTGGTATGCGGGGGGAGGCAGTCAAAAGGACACACACAAAACACCAAATATCACGGTGGAAACAACAACAATAATTTGAAAAAACCTTTTCAAAGGATGCTAGCGTTTGGGTGAAGCGCGTTCTGAACCGTACGTGATGATGAAGCTGCGATGACTGACAACAACGTGCGGATGCAACTACAGCGAAGGCCACATCAGAGTAGAGCTTTCCTTCCGGCATTTGCACAAGAAGGTTTGCGCAAAGCTTATCACCTCTCTTTTGTTGGTAAAAGAGACTCGCATCGGGCAAATGGTCTCTCGTTGTATAATTCTCTCGATTTGCTTGTTTCCATTTTCATTCCTCGTCCTTTTGTGTATATTGATGATGAGAAACTTTGCCGTTATCATAATTCGGAGGCATATTAAACGGCAAAGGTATATATGAGGTGTTAATGTCATCAACATCTGCGATAAGATCACAACAAGGACCCATTGAAAAGAAGTTTTTCTCTCCAACTCGCCTAATGTCGTCAACAATTCGAAGGCGGTCGGTGCCATAATTGTAAAGAAACAGACAGTGACACATTAAATTGCCATTAAAGCTATGGACCAAGGCCCATATAAGGCCAGGTCGGCCAGGAATTGGTAAAAAATACAGCTCTGTCGGTTAATTATAATGTCAATGTTTTGTTTTTTTTTCTAGGCGAAAAAAAAAACTAGTTTCTCCCTGACATCTAATAATCACGGCAAATTTGTTAACAAAGAAAAACAAAACAAAAAGGAAAACATCATGTATCAGAATGTCGACTTTTGTGTGGTATGATTATTAAGTATTTTATGAGAGATAAAACTATTCAAAATTTGAACCCTATGTGGGGGAGGTACTTGGGAGAGTAGACTGATATCGTCCTAGTACTGATATGGTTATTGGGAGCACAGAGTTTGGATAAAATGGGATGATCTCTTTTTTGTTGTAATAGGTAAATTATTTTCTTTGAAATTGTTGACCTCTTTTGAGGTAGGTACCAGTAGGATTGGTATTGCTCATTACGATCTTAGTTTTTTAAGCCAAATCGGATGGACGGACAGATCGATTCCAAATGTACTGAAATGGATTTGGTCCAAAGAGACCTAGGGTCTCCAACTGATGTTTCGATGAGACACGTTTTGGCCGTATCAAATCAAACTGCAACAAAGTCAATCGCCATATATATATATTTTTTTTATTGTATTGCAAGCAAGAAATGTCGGAAATAGCATCAAATTTTAGAATAAGTTTAGATTTGTTCGAATTGGTCACCACGAATTATGGTCTTTAAACGGCCAATGAAACCAAACGTCAAACGTTGTCCATTCTCGGCGAAGCGCTTGCTTGAGGTGATCGACACTTTGGTATTTTTTAGTGCCAACTTTGCTTTCCAAAATACTCCAGACACAATAGTCCAACGGATTGGTATCCGGAGATTTTGGTGACCATTGTGCGCTGGAAATGAAGCAGGGAACCTCATTTTGTAACCATTCTTGGTTGGTGTGTGCTGAGTGCGATGGTGCTGAACCCCGTTCGCCCTATGAATACAAAAACAAAATTGTGACGTTTTCGTCAAAAATTTTTGAAATAATTTAAATTTTTAAAGGAATTTGAAGACAAATCTGTACAAAGTTAAATATTATAAATAAACAGGAAAATTTTGTGTATTTGAAAATGAGAATTTGTCAAATATGCAGCAAAAAGGAGGTTCCAGGAAGGGGTACTTTTTTCGGTTCCAAAGGATGAAGTTTGGAGGGCAGAATGGAGTAACGTTTGCCAGGTAGAATTTAAAGCAACGTCTTCTGTATGCTCTGAACACTTCGACGTTGCTCATGTGGTGAAATCTGGGAAGAGATTTAGACTGCTGCCTATAGCCATACCTCAAATGAAACTTCCACTGGAAGATATTGATGAAAAACTTAAGTTAAGGTAAGGACAACTCAATGGTCAAACAATTATCAAAAAGGACAAATATTACAAGATAAAAGGAATTAGGGCCGCCAATGTCTTTATAATTTTGTTTATGGTTGAAACTTAAGCGAATCCTAGAATATGTTGATAAGGGTGTATAATTTGAATGGAATTTAACTCATCTATATAATTGGATAAGGCTTAGTCCTGGTTTAAAAACAAACAATATCGGTTATTTCATGCTTGTACCTTTCCATAATGTTCACATTTATAAATAACTAGCTGGCCCGGTCCGCGTTGCCGGCCCGTAGTTTTAGTCTTTAATGCAACTTTTGTATAGCATAATATTTCACAAATCAGGCTCATAAAGGTGAACAAATTTTAACATAAATATTCATCCGACTAAATTGATATAAATACCTATGGAAGGAGGTCAAAATAATTTCTATTTATAATTTAATTTAATTACGCTTTTACATCCATTACCATAGCACCTCAGATTGCGCTTTAGAGTCCCTAAGAAGTCTTTGTTCTTGTTCATAGTAAAATTCAATGACGAATCAACAATGCCCATGTTGTTGTCCGCCAATCGGTAAAAATCACTATAGATCGGTGGCCCTGGGGACTATATGGGGACTATATCAAAAGTTTTACCTATGTTGACATTTTTCTGTAAGATGGTTCTCTACTCACAAAATAGCCTAAATACAGCAAAATCGATTGGAAAATGTGGTCAAGACCCTCGAAATAGAAAAGCCAAGAAGCCAAATAAGTGCCAAATCAGTTGAAAAACGTGGCCAAGACCACGGTCATAGCTGAAATCAGGGATACATTCATATGAGGGTTATACTAAAACGTAGTCCAACCAATATTCTCTTGGGGGTTACAAATTCAATAGAATACAAAATTTTTTTTTCTGACCCCACATTAGATGTGAAAGTGGACTTGGGAATACTCCAATGTGTGGACTTTACTTAAATAAATTCCGATGTGGCAATTATCTGTATGATGGTTCCCGACCCCAGGGTAGCTTAAATACCATTTTTAGCCAAATCAATTGATGAATGTGGTCAAGACCAAAATGGGCCCTACTCTGAAAATTTAAAATTTTATGCGAAGAGGTTCTCTACCCCCTTAGAAACAAAGATGCCAAATAAGGGCCAAAATATGAAAAAAGTGGCCAAGATCAAAAAATAGCTTAAATCATACGATGGTTATATAAATATGAAATCGGGTTGTACCCTTATCCGTGAGTTATGAGGACTATCATGACCTGCAAAAGCGATTTAAGGTATCTTGAATGTTTGGGAAGAATTTCTGGAAGGATAGAAATCCTTTTCTTACTAAGAGTCCCATTCGCTCTACTATTTTCCACCCTTTATGTTTGGTATTTTACTGATTGTACTCCCAAAAATTTTTGCATTTTGAGCTCTCATTGGACGGATTATTGTCACATGAAAGAAATAGATCCACGCTTTGAAATAAGCCCCATTAGTCTTTTTCGGTCATTTTTGTTTGTTTAAATGTCTGCGCATCTTCCAGCTGAAGCACGATGTAGGCCCTGGAGTTCAAAGGTAGATGTCAGTAACCATCGTATTTCGCACTTATTTCATTTCTTTGGTGAAAAATTTTATATAGTGAAAAATTATTCTTTATTTTGTTCACAAATAATCCACTGAATTCAATATGATAATACAAATTGAAAAAAAATTGACAACAAAAAGAATAACAAATTGAAAAAATCTTCAACTTGTTCGCTGAATTTTTACAGCAACTGTTTAAAGATCCTTACAAAGTTTGTCAATAGAATGTACTTTTATTTTAAAATCCAATTCAATTGGAAATTTTTTTCGATATTTTCCCGTATTGAGAATTTTTGCAATGAGATCTATTTTTTCGTAATTTTTTTTTAACGATTTTGATAAAGTAATTATCGTTTAACTTTGGTGTGGCCGCATTAAATTATTTCTGTATCATCTATTCCGTTTCGCTACCACATAATTCGGTACTACACTTCCACGTAATCCGCCATCAATTTCAGTTCTCAAGAAATCAAGTCAATTAAATAAATTAGTATTAATATTCGAATTCAAAAATAAAATATAAAAAACACTACAAATGTACATTAGAAAAAAAAAGTCAAAATGGAAAAAATCATGCAAAATAAAACATTACTATTGTACATTTCAAAAGTCAAAATGAAAATGTTAATATATCACATTTCTGCGCGATTTTTTTGGATATTATCCTTTTCGGATAGGAGACAATTCCGAATTTGTACGAATCATTAAAATCAGTTCAGCGGTTCTTAAGTTATAAGCGTAGTAACTAACACAACTTTCTTTTATATATATAGATTGTAATTCTCATAATATAATGTAACTTCCTCCTTCTACATATTTTTACAAATATTGGATCTAGAGTTCAGATGAAATGTATCGGTCTACCCCCTTTATGATACCGATTACATCTATCGATTTTGGGCATTTCCTTCCAGAGTACTAGGACCCAATATCAATTTTTTTACAATTGGATCCTTCGAAACTGGTAAAATATTGGCAATACTGTACCGTAGTAAGTGGATAAAACCGTGGTCCCACAAACGCACTATATCCAAAAGAAGGATATGGGGGCTATATGAAAACATGAACCAATTCCGATTTTTTGTATGTGGTTGTAGAGTGTATGTATTTATACATAAAATGTAAAGGGACTAAAGTATTATTTCGGGAACTGTGGAGAGAATAAGATAAATAAACCTTGCACTAAACAGAAGAATTCTTAAACATTTAAATAGAAATAAACTAATAAAGAAATAACCCAAATTTATATATGCTTTCAATAGAAATGTTGAGATGCCTCTAGGGGAAATGGATTTAAACTTTGAACCGGATGCTACAATTGATAACATTAATCATTTAAACGAGTCGCAAAAAACATTCGAAGATCAGAATACTCAGACAAAGTACTTTTTTTTATTAATTAACAAAAATATATTATAATTAACGTTATATATAGTCCAGTATTCTTTGCCACAGAAAGTGAAAAGTACGCCGAAAAAATTAGAAACCTTGAGAATGAGAACAAGGAATTGAAGCGCAACCTTTGGTGCCTTGGATTCCGTTAATGAAATATTTACCGATGGCCAACTAAGAAAGATGAGATTAAGAACACCGCTAAGATGGCAATGGGCAGATATCTCGAGTGCCATATGTTTGCA